AATCTGACAAAAAATGAAAGGAGATAAGTACTTGAACTCAAATAGACTGATGGTATCAAAGTAAGCATTATATTCTAAAGCAATTAACAATTAATTGCTGCCTATTGATTTGTAATAATAATGAGAGTGCAATTTATTAAATACATACTAGGTAATTGTGTTTTAACTACACTGTCCGTTTGCAATTCCAGTTTACGTGTTACAGATTAATCATTCCAAAGGTAACTGAATATTTTATGTATGTTTCCTGTGACATATGGGAGATATTTCCACAGTCTAATGTACTGTTTATATAGGAATGAATTGCTAAGCTATCGCTGATTGCCCGTCTGTCTTAATTGATTAACGCTTCAGATAAATTTAGTTATACTTTTATAATATAGTTCTGCAATATCCTGAATTGTATCAAATTTGTTGTGTTCATCTTCTAAGTGTTATAACTTTAAAGTGATAACTAATGATAAAATGAAGAATCACATCAAAAACTTCTACTGGTGATTCAATATCAGTTTCATGACCACATGAATTATATAACATCAGTGGCGATGATTGTTTCAGTTTGCTCAAGAAAACAGAGAGTCACCTTAGCTTATAGAAGAACAACATTGGAACAATTTCGGCATATGAAACAAAGCTCATTAACCTTGTGAGAGAGAACGAGAGCTAAAACTTTTTAAAACCCAACGACTCTGAATTCATCAAATGATTCAAACATTCAATAATTCAACTTTTGTAGGTCTTTTAAAAGTTTCTGCACAATATTCAAACTTCCTTCAGCTAACACATCGTGAATATCCAGTAACACAGGAATGTAAAAAATAACGCATGAATTGTGCAAAATCAACGCACAATTATTCACACTTATGCCGACACGATCAACCCTACAAGTAAAAGAACCAAAATATATTACAGTACGTCAATTGGAAAGAAAATAAGTTGTGCACATTGCTTTCGATGACTGCCCCACCTCCTTTCCAGAGTTTGATTTATAATATAGGTATTTGTCATTCATTTACATTTTGCTACAGAATTGTGTCAATCCAATGACGCACATTTGACAAATCCTTGTTTGGCCATGTCCTACTTGACAGAACAAGGAACTTATATTAATCTATAAATAAATTCAACAGCTTAAGAGGTAATCAATATAAGCCTTTCTTAATGTCCTTTATATCATTCGACCGGCTCCTCTAAAGTCGTATTACATGAGAGTGTTTGTTTTTTATTTTTGAACAAATATTACCTTTTTACCTAAAATTTTATACTATTAAAATGGTAGGATACTACGTCATCGCGCACATGCAACATACTCCCAATCGGACTGTTCGTTTGTCGACTAGAATATAAAAACAATTTTTATTCTAAAAAAATCGTTAGAATATCAAAATGTAATGGAGAGCATCAAAGTATGACTTTAGTACTTGAAATAATTTATAAACAAAACAAAGACGTTTAAAATTTTACAATTTGGTTTAAGTCTGAAAACTACCTGGTTTAAGCCTAAAAACGGGATAAATTTTATTTGGGAGTCCGAGTGGGCGCATTTAGGGGGAATGAACTTTTTTTGGACTAAACTAGGCAGTAAAATTCTTTTTAAATATTAAAAGTACGAAAAGTAATCCTTGGTGCGCTTCTTTATAACGGGGGCATTTTGCAATGGCGCGATGACTTAGTATCCTAACAGTGTATCTTAGGACATCATAAGTAAGACAACATTACGTTTGATATTGCATGTTTGTAATTTTTAACCCTTTGAATAGGGTCTCACCTTTAACCCGTTGGCGGCAAGGTAAGCAATGTTCGTTATTCGGTAAGTAATGTTTTAAAATATTTTGAAATTTTCCCCAACAAAATAATGACTGGTTTGTCACTATTGAACATATGTAACATATGTTCACTTAAGATATTAAGCGTGTAAAGGGTTAAAAAATCGAGAGAATTTCTGGGTATTTCATCCTCAATTTTATGCCTATGCTGATTTGAAATTTTATACCGAACGGATATGATTTTCTAAAGCAAAACGAGTTTAATGCGACACTTGACATTGCAACCTTTCTGTTACCTCCTGTGGTATTTTATAATAATATGCCGGCGAAAGATAGTTGACTTGTGGCAATAATGTTTTCCAAATAAATCAAACAAATTATATAAGTTTTGCGAAGGTGATTTTAATTTTCTAGTCAAGATCTTCTTAGTTTCTATAAAGATTTAAAAATGTTGCTATGCTGTTATGTGAGCAAAGGTCACAAAACTGTTATTAAAGTTTTCTTTTCTCTGAACGAACCTCTTTGAATCGTCCAAAAACAGTCTATAAGCCATCTCTGCCGCGCATCAACTAATGTTAAGAGATAAATCTTGAGAAAAATGAAGAAATTTTCCGACCTGCATTTCGTTCTTTAATGACGCAAGGTCCATTGTCATCAAATGAGTTAGGCAACGAAAAAATATACAGACAGGCGTTGTATCAGCTTGCAGGTTTTCATTGGTATGTATGGATTGTCGACATTCAATATGGCTTTGGGGAAATCAACAAAAAATATAGATTACGATTTGGCCGCCATTAAAGTTTGTTCAAATCAAACTTAAAATCAGTGTCAAAGTTTTTGTAATTTTCACATTTATGCAATTACATGTTTTATAAATCTTTTGGTAATATGTAACCGTAGCATGTATATTTGTAAGTAGCTTTACAGATATGCAGGTCGATACAAATACTGTCATAAATAAATTGTCGAGAATTACTTATGTCTTATCATCAATAAATAATCATCGAAAAATAAAGTAGAATTTCATACTGCTTTCTTTTGATCGAAACTGCAGGCACTCTATTTTATTGGTTCAATTAAACTAATATCGAGCTTTGATCTTAGTGATCTACATGTGAATGTACATAAACAACTTCTTTAATGACATATGCTCCTCAGAAAAGGTAGTTCTTGCGACAACTTCAATACACTTCCAACACGTTCTCATATTCTCAAGTGTATTTGATTGCTACAAACTATTGTCTCACTATCATATATATATAAGTTCTACATCTAGAGCTTGTGGTAGTATCAATCCCTACAACATGTTTGTTTTTAGCTTATTTAAAAGTCACACATCTTCAAATGTTGCCGAATTTAAAACAGATCACCATTTACGTGTTTAAATGAGCAAGTGCTAGGGGACGTGAACGATAGCTTGCAAATGCATTACCGTCCATGAACAGGACTGTTCACCGTTTTGAGCATTCTATAGACATTCCGATTTTCTTCTAATTAAATAGGCCTTTAATATTTGTAGATGGGCAATTTTTTTGCAGTTTTAGTTAATGATTTATAAATTAATCATTCATATGATAATGTCAATATTAGTTTAGATATGTCGTAAATGAATGATTTTACCTGTTTTATTCTAATGAACATATTTTTAAGTTTCCACAACAAACAATACATGAATTGTTTGTTATGCAATCATAAAGCTATGTTTATTAGCGTAAAGAGTTAAAATTAATATTTTTTTCTGAAATAGGAGTATTCAACTGGAAACTCAGAATGATCCGACGGTATATAGGTTGTATTAGATGTAACAGCACCAGCTTTCATCTTCTAGTAAACAATATTGATCAAAATTTTCAATACGCTGATATTACTGGTTTAAGACTTGTTTACTCCCCTACATGGGTCCGTTCAATAGGGGGAATGCTGTTTTAGTCATTTAGGGGTCGACGAGATATGACCATGGATGCTTTAAAATCGGCTTAAAAGCGGAAAACAAACAAATAACCCTCTGCACGGTACCAATTTAAACTTGCTCAATCGGCACAGCATTGCTACCTTGAATGTTTTTTTAACTTATAAATGAAAAAAAAAACCCATTTCAAATCTGTTCTTAAGCTAATTTAAATAACAAAACAAAGTTGAAACATCAAGTTAATACTAGCAACTTTTATGGGTATCAAGATATTACTATTTGTTACTATTATCACTAATTAAACGCCTGTATTTAACTACCAATGTTGTAACATTGTTTGAATTTTCTCATAATGCGTGTACTGACATTGTTACATCTGTTTATGTGTTTCATCTATATTACAAGTATATTTTTACTTGGTGTTAAGAGCTTCAGTCTATTGCGTCCATTTAATAGTTTATCTCTTAATGTTAGGCCAATTGCAAGACGCGCAAAGACACATTTGGACACTAGACAAAAGGTTAAAAGTTTACTTTTAAAATATTCTTTATTATAAGTTTTAGTCATTCTATATGTCAGTACTTTATGCAAATCATTTGTTTTCATATACAGCACATACATTGGAAATTACAGATCTAACTTAAACAAAGATTCAACAATATCAGCATTGTTTGCAAATGCGTGCATGTATATAATTCATATTACCAAGTGTAGGAAGACTGTGATCGATAAGTATGAAAACATATGTTGTACAATTTCCTTTTTGCCTATGTCCGAGTAAAGCAAATGAGTTTAGAACCATAACTAATAAATTATGTATTCTAATGTAAAGATATCATCATACAAATATTGCAGGACATTAGACATGTAAGGAATATACATAAAATTTAATTACTGTGAATTAACTTAATGTCGTTGCATTAAAATTATGGTTTTGTAATAAGGACATTTTCGTGAATTCTTGAATTAGTCAATTGTCCGGTTTTTTTTTTTCAAAATCAAAATAATAATAAATATATGCAAAAAACTGTAATAAAAAGAACAGGAGAGATAAATTTTTGTTTGATATTAAAATTTAACCCAAATACGACGCTTAAAACCAACATAAATGTAGTTCAATTTCTCGTTTTCAACATGATTTGTATCAGCTGTAGCATTTTGTAGACTTTACTTTATATCAAGACACTTTAATGTTGCAGACCGTTGCGTATTTGCTTTCGTGTATGTGGTTTTATACCTTCATTTTTCACGAGTTTATTTATTATATTTTATAACATAAAAAAACAACAAAAGAAAAAACTTTTCATTTTTATTTTCAACTAATTGTTAAATTAAAAGGTAGCATCTGATTAAAGTAAGACTTGCAAGAAAATGGTCAGTTTACATTTGCTTCCTTCTCATCTCTCCTTTCTTGCTGTCGTTCGTTCTTGTCATTTTTGTATGTTAATCTGTAATAAATAATAATGAATATGAAATCACTTACAAGATATGAATGCTTTTCGGGTATCACATAAAATAAAGGAAACAACGAAATATTGAAGTATGAAAGCTCGAGCAAAACGTTACATATACATGTATAAGTAAATATGCATATTCAAGTCAAATAACATATATATATATCCAAATTTTTTTCCAACTTCAAAGCACTTAAAAAAAGACTGCTAGCTTGAAACCGGATTTTCGCGTAAACATCCGGAATATCATACATGTATACTCTTCTCCGACGCGTAATGGAAAGTCCGAAAAGTCGAATTTGGTTTTGCTTTATTATTACATATTGCTACATTGAATTCGGACTTGAAAAAACATTTATTATTAAATTTGTATATGTAGCAGAAACAAACAACTATAGATAATGAAAAGACAAATATTGTTTAATGCTTATTTGAATACCATAAGACTTTCTCTGAATAAATAGTTTTCCCCAAAATAAATAAATAAATTTAGGATAAACTATATGAGATATCATACTATTTGTATCCATAAACCTCCACTTCACACAGATGGAACTGTGTTTGCTTGTTCCGTAAAGTTACCCTGACATAACGAGCTTGCACTGGATCAAACTTCAAAGACATGAAAGGACCCATTTCGCCCTCCTTGTACGCCACCATACTCCAATTACCAGGATTTTCCTTAGCTATGGAGATTTCAATGTTCTGCGCTCTTTCAGCTAAAATAACAATAATATTCGACATCGGCATTATACTACAAAAACAAATTTGAAATTTTTCAAAAATTGTGATTTCATATTTTTTCTTCCACATTTTGAAAGTGTGTGCGGATTTTCACAAAACTTAAGAAAGTACATCAAACTTTTCACGACCCAATGCCAAATCCATTACCTTAATTTATTGATGAAGAAAAAAAACCCAAACAGTATTTTAAAAAACAACATGACATTACATCATCATTGTACAAGAAGTAACTATGGAATTTAATATGTAACATATGTTTATACGTCTCAATATTAATTCTAATAGCCTATTTCAATTTCATAATTAAAAGCTGCATCTATGAAATTGACACCCATATAAACCGTTTCTTATAGTAAACTCTCCTATAGTAAATAATTAAAAAGACATACTGCCAGCGTCCTGCCTGTTGGTGATGTTAACTTGAGTTATGTCATAGATATCCTGAAGATCGACTTCCCACCAGGGACTTGTATTGTCATCAGTATGGAAACAATGGTTGTTAAACAAATCACTGTCAGCATTACCATCATTCCCTTTGTCAGCAGTCCACTCATTGTTATTATCGAATTTAAACTTACTTGACTGACTGGCAGGTTTTCCAAGAGAAAGAATAGCTGAAGCGAAACATGCTAGTTTAGTGATTATGAACGTTTACACTATTAACATTTAATTTACAGTTTATTTTTGCATAAGGTTGTTCCCTAACACTTAAGACAAATCGTCTGTTTATTTTAGTTAGAAAAAAAATTATCTGGAAACAAATTGATCCCTCGGAATCATTTAACACAACAAAATTACAAGAGAATTGCAGACTCGGCTTGATTGAGTCTGTACATGAGGGATAATGAATAAGTGCAACTTCCTTCACGCCCCCTTAAGTCCTTACACAATGTGTTGGTTGATTCTTAATTTAAAAGCAGACAAGAACATGGTAACAGCCCATGACCAGATAAGTATTGTAAACCATTACATTTGCTTAACAGAAAGGAGAATGTTTTGTGTAAAGTAAATCGATACTTTATGTTAGTTATGCATTAATTCATTTGAATTCATAATTATATACAAATGAAAACTGCCTCGATAACATATTTTTATGTCTGTTTTTTACCAAGTAAACAAAAGCATCCAAGAAAGCTAACAAGGTATGCTTACTTATTTTCACAGCTTTTTCCATAAAAGCCAGACGCACATATACATACGAAGGTACTGGTCCCATTTGTACACACGCCGCCGTTAAAACATAGATTCACAGCACAATCGTCGGCAGGAACATCTTAATAAAAATGACTTTAACGTTAATCCAACAACAAGAAAATATAAATTTGATCACGCTGAGAGATATTAATGAAATATTCTGAAAATGTAGGTTAGATAAAATAAATATTTTCAATATTAAAACATTTTCAACTTTTTAGCTTTAATAAAACAGTTATCTTAAGGAAATAATTTTTGCTGTTTTTTTAATATTTTAATGCCACACAGAGAATGGCGATATATTAGACCTAGATAAAAACAAAATACATAATAAGGCCTAACTTTTATTGAGCTCGTTATATTAAAAAAGGTATGCCTTACTTTCTCCAAAGACTTCCACTTCACATAAATGTAAATATGTTTGTTTGTTCCTTAAAGTTACTCTAACGTAACGAGCTTTCACTGGAGCAAATGTTAAAGATATAAAAGAGCCAATTTGACCTTCGTTATACGCTACCATCTGCCAGTTACCAGGATTTTGTCTTGCTACGGAGATTTCAACACTCTCTGCTCTTTCAGCTACAAACACAAATAATATTTGCAGGCACAGCAATTTCTATAAAGATATTTGTGAATAATGGCTGAATATTTTGTAAATACTTTGTTAACATTTTGAGGAACATACCTAGTTTAACGGACCCCAAAAATTCAGATTATCACACTGTAAGAGAATATATGCAACAAAGAAACGCGTGCATACTCTGTTAGTTTTTGGGTTCGCTTAAATAGATTCTATCCGAGTGATTTTTATGTAGACAACTATTTAAACTAACACAATGTTTTAAAAAAATATTGATACTCTGCAATCGTTGTGAAAGTTGTTTTTATGAACTTTAACCCAATGAGGCTTAAAATAGCCTGTTTCAAAATTGCCTCTATGAAATTAAATAATTAACGCTAGATAAAAATATCATTATATAAAGTGAAATATTTAAGTAAATGTATAGAAAACGGTTAAAAGCTACATACTGCCAGCGTCCTGCCTGTTGGTGATGTTAACTTGACTTATGTAATACACATCCTGAAGATCGACTTCCCACCAGGGACTTGTATTGTCATCAGTATGGAAACAATGGTTGTTAAACATATCAGTATCAGCATTACCATCATTCCCTTTGTCAGCAGTCCACTCATTGTTATTATCGAATCTAAAATTACTTTGCTGGCTGGCAGGTTTTCCAAGGGCAAGATTTACGAGAGCTGAAGCAAAGAAATTGTCAGTTAAGTAATCATGAAACTTTTACACGTTATATTTCATGATATATTTCTTTACATATTTTCCTTAAAACTGTAACAAAATCGTTTTAAAATCAATTAGAAGTTCTTGCATATATATGTATAAAATATTTAAAGAATAGTTTTTGAAATATTTAGTACTGAGTCTCGTTTTAATGTTCGTTTTAAAGCTGATATTTTACCTGCATTTGATTGTGTTGTTTTCAGAGCAACAATAATCATCGAACCTACCTGAAATAGTATAAAGCATAAAGTTTTTAAATGTTTGCATTCCATAAGTTTCTTATGATTATTTTACATATATTGTACTTGTATGAATGGTAATTTTATCTATTTTAATTGTATAAGTGGTATTTTTTTATATCTATTTTACTTGTATAAGTGGCAATTTTATATCTGCATTACGTAACTCTAGTTATACTGTTGGGATGCTTCATTAAATAGTTAGTTACAGCTTTTATCCGAATGTTATATTAGAAAATCATACCAGGAATAATGGAAGATCTGGTTATGTATTCAACAAAAAACAGTATAAAACATCAATTATACTTTAATGAATGAGGATATAACTATGTACGAAATTTAAAGAAAGGTAGAAATAAAAGGTTTTAGTATGCTTGAAAACAGATAATGTTGTTATACGCTAAGTAAATTTAATCAATGAATACAATAAACTATATTATACCAAGGAAGAAAACACAAACGTCCTCATGCTTTACAGATTGACAATTTTCCTAAAAGACAGGAGTGAATTCAAAGTTAATGTTTCTTCTGAAAGTGATAATAAAACACATTATACATGTATAATACAACTCAAAAGTGCAACAATATGCTAATATTCAACTATTATCTTTCCATGTATATTAATTTATCGTTGTATAATAAGTCACAATTTCAGTCAACACAAATAACTTGATTGACAATGTGCACCTGAGTTCTTCCGTCACCACTAAAGCTGAGAAGTCGCCGTACGAGACTTTTAAATTGCCGGTGTGACTAGGTTTGGTTCTGTTCATGAATGATAATGTAAATTTGCAGCACCTCTCAGGCCTCCTTAAGACAGGCGTTAGGGATACACAACCTTCATTACAAAGTGCTTCAATATTTGATCCGTAAAGACACGAATGTAATTGATGAATTCATATATTACGATACAAACATAAATCTGAAATCTGAAATTAGATTTTCTTCCCGCAGTGAATACTAATACTTATACTTGTATATACTTGTATGACAAAATTGAATCTTTGAGCTATACTTATTCTTGCGAGGAACCTTCATGGACGTGTTCTACTTTTGCACGTATCATCAACACAACACCTTAATCTAAATTGCATCACATGTCACTCAGGCTACCTTACATAACGTAACGTTTTCTTCCGACCGTTATATGCGATTAATCAGTAACAGGTTTTTTTTCTTATTATTTGCTTAAAAAAATGAGCTTTAAATTAAATTGATAACTATTTTGATTACCGTGATTACCCGAAAACTTTACAAAGATATTCTTAAGTCAGAGACACGATTTCTTCTATGGCATTCGTGTAGTTTTATGTAGAAAAAGTAATTGTATTTTAAAAGAAAACAGTATAACAAAAATGAGATATTACGAAGAGTTGACGCAGTTCAACTAAATCTTACATGGCTAGTACTGCTTCGAAGTACAAATGGCAATTGAATGTGCGAACGTAAACATAATATTTTAATGATTGCAAATGACTCAGAAAAATAATTTCAGCTTAACTAATTCAATTAAAAATACTTTTATTTGAAGATACATTGATGATGGATATTTACACGATAGTTTTAAACATTTTCAAAATAGAAAAACCTACACAATATTTTGTCGCAAAATATTATGTCGACCAAGTCTCGTACCTTGGAAAATAGGCCAAATCCAAACACATCTTGGTTTAGTCTAAAATATACTGGAATTCTTTTCATTTTTGATAAAAATGAGTATGTCTGTCTTTTTGTCGATGAGTAAAACAAAATTGTTTCAAATGTGCTTGACGTTAGAATTGACATTTTATATACAATGTATAAGTACTGTTTTATTTGATAAAAAGGAAAGAAAATCACTTAAATTACTTCAAAAATGAAAAAAAGAAATTAAAGAAAATTATAAGATACAAAATATAATGTACGTTTAATATTTTTGCAATGAGAAAAGAAAACAATATTTTGTACTCACAGTTTCTCTGAATGGTCATCCAAATTGCATATGCTGGCAGTCTGTTGCTTTGTATTGATTATATACTGTTTGTCATGCATAATATTGCAACATTTCAAATGCCAAAACCAACTTATCAAGCAAAAAATTTAAGTCGTTAGCTTATCACATTGTTTGCATACAAAAACTCTTATGATGTTTGGCATTGAATATTGTCCTTTGAAGCAATTGTTTCAATTGAAAACTTTGTGCCATAAAGCTAACAATACAATTGCAAAAAATGCGCTTTTGTCTGACTTGTGGTGAGGACATGATTTGTAAATTTTCCCTTGCTTCATTATTTGAGTGGTAGTATGCAATAAGAAAATGTAAAATATACATCATATATACACAGAAATTATCAAACATGTATATAATATTTTTGTCAAGCAAAAAATACAGGCATATATATTTTAAGCTCTTTATCATAATTGTCTTTATTTCATTTGCTTGTTATAATCACAAGCCCTATTATTGATTTGTCTATCACACTCAGCATGATTTACAAGTTCAAGGTCAAAAACACTTACGATGATCCTCTCAGTTGCGTTCACATTTAAAACATATTCTAGTAAAGTCTTTATCAAGTCAGACGATATTTGTATATTAAATTGTCTTTTTTTCATACCCATAAAAAATCTACCTCGGACATATTTTGTTGAGTTTTTGTATGGATATATTTTTAGAAATCAATTGTTATAGTTATCATGCAACAAATACGAGAAACGATCAACGTTTTTTTTCCATTTTTCAAGTTAAATCTCAGATATGTGTAGCTATACATTCTATAGTTGCAGGGCCTCTTCATTTTAATTACTTGCGACTTACAAACAATTTTCGTTTTGACAAATGGTTTTATATCGTTGCACCTGCTTTGAGGTAAACTTTATACTTTCATGTTTATCATATGACTCTGCGATATACAGATTATTATTCAAAATGTTTTCTGTAAACCTGCCAATGGCAGATCCAGACAGTGATGGTTCAAGGATGCTTTTAGTCATTGGTAAAATGCAATGTTAGATTTTGATGTAACATGTCATATTCCTCTAAGAGTTAAAGAACATAATTCCCACTCGATTTACCTCATGGTAATTAAAAGTACAATAAAAACCAGAAAACTAAAAGAACGCCCTAAACGAGATAAAATTGGGAGTGCTAGATAAAATGGCATATGTGAAAGGTGTCAGGGTTATAAAATCTGCATATCACAATCAAGATTTAAAAAAGACAAATTGAAATAAAAAAACAACAGGCGCCATATTCTACATATTAAACAATATTCAAGCAGGAATACTTTACCCAAAATCAAGAAAAATATCAATTTTAACACAAACACAGTGATACAGTCAATTTAAATGGACTTCAATGATCGGCAATATACATTTCTCAATGTGTGGACTACGCAACGTCTATCAGAGCCTTCGTAATTTTTTTTACAAAATTACCATCACATAGTTAAGCCGCTGTAAAGTCAACCATTTAATTGACACAGTAATACGATGTAAGATGTCTAAGCCTTTACAATGTATAACTAAATCCAAAGCTGAGACCACCATGGAAGTGTTAAAGGACATTGGTATTCATAGTTGCAAATGCAATGAAAGTGATTTGAGGCAAAAAACGAATGTAGATACATGTATATTGTAAAGACTAATTATACATTAGGGTTTATGGTCTGTACCAAACTGTATCTTCTGTGAACATTTGATCGGAATAATTTTTTTAAACATACGCGACAATAGACAGGAAGATGTATAAACAGGTGCAATACGATATTTACACTTACCCTATAATGAAGATAAATTAGTGTAGCTTCTATATAAACTTCTCATTAAAGTACAACAGCTTCGGACAAATTCAGAAAATGGATAGCAAATGAATGGACATGTTTCACAAAATACATTTACAGTGAGAGAAGATTGTCAATGGTTTATAATAATATTGTCATTATCTGATTTTGTTCAATTTTGAGTTTGTCATCAAAGCAACACATGTTACCAGATATGTCCTTGATCATTAGCTGCCAAACAAAAGTGCATGTAGTAAACAATTTTATTGAGGTGTCCTTAAAAGAGCACAATTTTCATAAGTATTTCAAATATTGATAAAAACAATGGAAGTGTATCATTTTGGATAGTCTTTGGAAACATCGCTTGATAACAAAATGTTGATAAAGTTCTATGAACATTAATATGATGAATTATGGTATTTTGTTCTAGTCGTAAAAAATTATTGTTATATCGGATCCTGAATCTCACACATGCCAACAACATTCATATAAAATCATTTCATGCTTTCTTGTCATGTCTAATGCTAAATGCAATCCATGTATTTATTTATTGTATTACAGACCGTCCATTATATACCAGCTCACTTTGAATAATATACTTTCTATATGTTTGTTATGATTATTTTACATCTATTGTACTTGTATGAGTGGTCATTTTATCTATTTTACTTGTATAAGTGGCAATTTTATATATGCATTACGTAACTCTAGTTATACTGTTGGGATGCTTCATTTAATAGCAAGTTACAGCTTTTATCCGAATGTCATATTAGAAAATCATACAAGAAATAATACAAGATCTGGTCATGTTTTCAACATACAACAGTATAAAACATCAACTTTACTTTAATCAATGAGGATATAACTATGTACGAAAATTAAGGAAAGGTAGAAATAAACGGTTTTAGTATGCATGAAAACAGATAATGTTGTTATACGCTAAGTAAATTTAATCAATGAATACAATAAACTATATTATACCAAGGAAGAAAACACAAACGTCCTCATGCTTTACAGATTGACAATTTTCCAAAAAGACAGGAGTGAATTCAACGTTAATGTTTCTTCTGAAAGTGATAATAAAACACATTATACATGTATAATACAACTCAAAAGTGCAACAATATGCTAATATTTAACTATTATCTTTCCATGTATATTTATTTATCGTTGTATAATAATTCACAATTTCAGTCAACACAAACAATTTGATTGACAATGTGCACCTGGGGTC